GTTGTTGTTGTTGTCATCCTTTCAAGGTACCAATCAACAGCAATGTCCGTCTCCACACTCGCGTATCGACACGTATAATGTTTGCGATGGGTGACAGAGAGGAGGGAAGGAGACTTGGAACTAGTTGGGTCGACATTTGTTGTCCTGCATGCGTGGATGACGCGAAGAGAGTGCACCCTCAGAGGTCGGACGTGCACGTGTGCATGGAGATATTACAATCGCTGTAGAGTGTGGGATGAGATTCGTCGACATCTCTGAAACCTAGTCGGGTCACTTTTACCTTCATTGGTCCGCCAAGCACGCAGTGCCGACAATTGGTGGCAGGTTTTGTGAATAATTCTGCAGTCAGTAGTAATTTCAGTTGGTGTACAATCGAGACACATTATGCTTGGCTAAGCCGAGACAAAATTTGCTGACACTTTTTTGAGGCTCTGTCATGGTAGTATCTGCATTACTTACTACCTTAATAAGTAGGTGCTTTTATGGTATTGCGTTATCCCGATCGGTTTATTGACAGCAGGTGTAGGCATTTCAACCATTTGTACATTGAGACAAGGTCAAAACTTCAAATATTTTGATCGCCACTTAGCCTGACCACAAGGAGATGGGATGTGGGGTGATGGCATTCCTCCAAATTTTTCGAGTAATTCCTGTTGACAGCCTCTTGTAGCAGCTACCGCATTCGCGACCAATGCTGAGTTTTAACGACATCTATTCACGAGTGAAATGAGTCAACATTTGGCGTCGATGGGAAGCCAACTCGATGACAATCATCGATGGTGACGAACCAATTCCTTCCCCTCCTTGGAAATGTCAATTACGTTAAGAGGAGTTGCTTTTTCAGTCTACCACTTCTCTTACACCCCTTTGCGATGTGGTCTTGAGAAGGAGTTGTTTGCCAACTAACTTCATGATTCATTTATTATTGTTTTCCGGATTTAATTAACTGCAAACCTCTCCTTCCCCCGATTTCAAGTTTATTGCCTTTTTAGATTGTGATGCGTTGACAAGACATGCTGTTCGCTAGGCTACGTTCGCTTCCCCATCAATCCAATCCCACTTTAAAGCTATCTTATCTACTCAAAATTCCTCCTTGTATCTGGATTATCTACCCAAAAAACTAGTCCTTTTACTCCTCTCCTTTCTCCATCAGTCTTGACAAGGCGGTAGAATCAGTAGTATGGTGGAAGTGCCACCTCCTTGCTGCCAGTGCCTCTCACCTTACCCATGGGAAGTTTCGCACCATCTGGCCTCCGTTCGCATCGCCAGCCTAATTATTCTGCCACTTATTCCCCTGAGTCGTATTTCCCCACGTCTCATGATCGCCTTTGTTCTTCAGTGTTGGCAGTAGACAATCACATGACCACGTGGATGATGGAATAGACAATTGGAGGGCGAGACAGTGGACCAGACAAACGTCCCCACCTAATAGTGCAATTATGGCGTGGTCTTTTGTCCCACTTGAAGAAACTTTTAAGCACGCAATTTTTTTTTCCCATCACTAAAAAACGAAATGGAGTAATTTTTTTGTGTATATGGGCGTCCAGGGGGAAGCACGGGTGCCTTCTCTCGTAGACCGAACAATCGGCTCATTTCACAATTGCCTTTGTAATGCAATGCATAATTATTGTAGAAAAGGCGGGAGTTGTGGAGAACGTGGAGGAGACCGAATCAACCGACCTATCCGAAAAGGACAAGGCGGCATTGGAACGAGCGATGGAGGAGAAGGAGGATTTGGAGAAACACGCCGCCATCATTGGTTCAATTTCTCTCACCCTCATAATTGTCACACTTGTTTGCATGTGTAAGTCCTAATTAAGTGTGAAATAGCACTACAATTTTCACATTGTGATTGGTGGTGCATTGAGAATTTGGTGATGTTTTAATTTGTGTAGTTTTTGCAATTCGTCGAAAACGGAAAGAAGCAACTCACCATGTGATTGAAGTAAAACTGCCCTCCGATCAGGACAGTCCACACCTACCTGGCACAAATGCAAATAGCAGTATAAAAAATGTCAATGCAGCCGCTCCTCATTCCTCCAAATTGCTGCCTAAAGATGTGATCATTGACTTGGAGGATATTGAAAATGAGCCAGTTTTCTCCAGTTCGGGTGATGCTCTTCTGGGTCGAGAGCCCAATTCGACACAAAAGGGGATCCTGGGACCCACGGGTCTCTTTGCCAATCACAACTGGGACAGACGAACATCACCAGGTGTGGCTAAAGCCTTTGGACTGAGTGCAATTTCCAAGTCACCGTCTACAAAGCCTGGCAAATCGAGGAATGCCCTCTTTCGACACCAACAAATGCAACAACAACACCAACAGCAACCACAGCAGAGAGCACAACGGTGTGCGTGGCAATCGGATGCCAACCTAATCCAACACTCCCAAATGCACAACAGTCGAGGGAAACTGCGTAAGCAATAGCCAATGTTAAAGTTTTGTGTCTTACGCCTTCTCAGCTCTTAAGGTCACCCACGGGTCACCCTAACACACCTTTGTTGGCTGGAGTGGTCCCAGAGGCTCATAAACGTTCGCCAAACTATTCCGAGATAAGTTAACATCCCTAAAATCATTTTCTCCCAAAACAGAGCCTCTCAATGATCACTTCTTTCCTCGTATTGGCGTCCAAAAACGCCTCTTTAGGCGGTGATTCACTGATGCAGTGGTAGAGGAGGCGTCAACATTTTCTCCAGTTCATTATTTTTAAGTAAATTACGCAAAGTCTTGCTTGAAGTGGCTGTTGCGGCCCCCCCGAGATGGCTCGCAAATTCACCCACCTCTCCACAACAGCAGCCCCTCCACCTCATTACTTCCAGTGGGTTGTGTAAGTGGAGAAGGCGGTTACACTTGCAGTTGGAGGCTGTTATGACATGCATGCCTCACACCATCTACTCACCTCCTTAGCAGACTTATTTTTGGTGGTCAAAACAACATCCAACAACCTCTTCTTCTCATTGGACAAAATGAAAACTAACAAAAGCCTGGCCCATAATTTGGTTGAGACAAATTGGTTTGTGAATCACTTTAGTAGCCTATCTCTCTACCTTTTGACGAAAAATAAAAAAAAAAGGAGAAAAAGGAATTGTCCACTGTGAATTTCATTCACTCCTCTAATCATTCATTGGGGAGATGTTTTATGGTCTTCCCGTGGAGACACACTCATTTCAGCATTCCTTTGTTTTGAGGACTTGCAATTGACTGCTCTCTGTGGGACTGTCTTTTGTTTACTCGTCTCCCCTGTGGAGGTGTCTTGTTAGAGTAGGGGCGAAAATTTCCCCCACAGGCAGGCCACTACTTACTAGTGCTAGTACCGACTGTATCAAGACGAGAAGGCGGAGTGCTGCACTTTGTGTTTGGCCTTTTACTATCACCAATCGTCACAGTTTAATTCCATTCTGAGAATCGCAATTTGGCATTGTTAAACTGAGAAGGTGACTGTAGGTTAGGTCTCCACAAAGGAGAGTTTTGGAGTTGTTCCCCCCTTTTTTTGTTTGTCTAAGTTGACACAACGCATCGGTGACACTGGTGAAACTTTAACTTCTCATAGAGGTTGAAGAGCTTCGATGAACTGGGATGATGATGATGATGATGATGATGAAGGTACTCCATTTTATGACATCTGACACCCTTAAACCCTGCTGTCACCCTAAAGAGGAAGGAGAAGGGAAGGGGGAGGGGAAGGATGCCCTTTCTTACCCATCATCTCCCTCCTTAATTCCATCCTTTCTGTGTAGGCGTCAGAAACAATTTTTGGCCTTAAAACCTTTCGATTTTAAAGAGACCTTTGATTGTGAAACAATTTGCTATGTTGTCGCTGTTGTTTGTGCCAGATTTGTGAAGGATGGAATGTGACGCGTGAGAGCACAGACACCGAGGTCATGCATTCGTCTAGACTAGTGAAGGCTAGATTGGACTCCGTCAAGCCTTTGTATTAATACTTTTGAAACTGTAACTGTTGCCTTCTCGTCCACTCTTTATATACGACTGTAAAAGCAAACCGCTATGGAGCATCCGAATGCACCAAGCGGAATTAAGTGATGCAAAGGTGCGCCATTCCAGTCTCTCGGGCCGTACCAACCTGACGCACTCGCTTGTATGACGTGTACCACCTCCGCCTGTCAGGTACGCAGTTCTTGGGGGGGAAGGGGCGGAGAAGGTGGAAGGCTGAGGTGAAAGCCAGACAAAAACGGCCTCTAGTCTTGCCTCCAACTGACAAATGTTCTACTTAACAGTTTCCCATTGTCAAACACTAGTATGGTTGAAGTCGTCTTTAGATCTGGTTGGAGGGCGAGCACAGCTTTTAAGAGGCCTCCAATTACAATGTCTGAGTAAAACAAGTGCCTCACTCTTGGAGATGACTACTGGTTGAACCTGTAGACCTAGCATTTGTTGTCTAAACGACCTCAGCTATCTCCTCCCCCGCTTTTCATCAAATTATGTCTTCCCTCAGTCGAAATGGTTGTTTCACCCTTTCCTCACCACCTTCACCCGATGGATGATGCGCGTTATGAACGCGTACAACCATAAAATCGACTGCATCAGGGCTCTGAATTTGTGCACCACCCACAGAAAGCCATAAATCGCCTCCACATACCTTCAGACAAGTTAACGCTTCCATTCCATCGGGTGGAATTACTAACAGCTTGGTGGTGTCGAAGGATGATAAACGACTTGCAATAGCCACAATAATGCTTGTTGCCTCTGGACTCGGCAATCACTCACGTCTGCACATTTTTGGGGTTTGTCTTGTTTTTGCACACTTTAATGCCTCCTGTCGGGTTGCCATTTACTTTGAGGTTTTCATTCAGCTTTGTGGCAAAGGTTAAATCTGTCTCTGGATAGGATCAGGTCAAGTTTTCCAACACCTATTTCGCATTACAAAGGGCACTATTTTTTTCGATTCGTGCCTAATCAGCCTCGATTGAGGCATTCATGTTTACTCCTTACCTGACAGAAACCCTTTTAGCGCATTTACATCGCCTATGGCAGACGAATGTCATGCAAGAGTGTTTTCTAAAGCCCAGTGGTCACGGAATTTCTGCAGAATCCCTCAGTAAGGCCGATATCTCCCTCCTCTACTGCTTTTGGGCATTTGGGGAGGCCGCCCGTTACTCCCGTCATAAGTATGGCTTTTCGAATTCCTGTCTAAGCTGGACTGACCCATATAAGTCGAAAAAGTGGTAATTTTTCCCCTCTCTGATGGACCTCGGGACCATAAGCGTTAGCGAAGCGAATTGCCATCCAGCGAGGTGCCAGTTTTAACGCCTTAAAAATGAAGACCTAGTGATGATTACGAGTTTGCTACCACCACATTAAAATTTAAAATTTGGCACACCCTCGATTAATTTTAAAAGTGCATTTCAATGTTCAGGCATTGGAGTGAACTCTTTTTTGGCCAAATATCAAGAACCATTCTTTATTTTCGGCTAAATGCAATGGAGGCTACAAAATGCAACCCAACTGTGCCATTTAAAATTGGCAATTTTCAAATTGAATTGAAGGGGGAAAAGGAGAATAACCTTCCAGCCCTTTAAGCGGCTGTCAGAGCAAAATGCCCATGTTTGCATTTTTTAAACCCCCTTTCTCCCCTACTTCACCATGCTTTTGATTATTTGCCCGCAAAAAAATAGCCTTTCCCCCCTACCTTTCACATGAACTGAATAATGAGGCAATTTCACTACCCCACGAACAAACAACTTCCGACAGACATGATATTTCCGAGGCAGCATCGTGCAGCGGACATTTTTTTGGCAAAATTAACGAAGCATTGCTTATGATAAAAGGGGCTAGATTTATATCAACGTTGATGCGTGATTGGACTACCTCTCAATATCGATTAAAATGAGCTGAGTAACAGCCTTGGGTCTAATCTTACTCGTTTTCCAGTGTAATAGTTGACCAATGAATTATAAGTAAACTAATCTTTGCAACTTGATTGGCGGACTAACTAATTGTCCAGAGGACTATAAATAACACAGGTGAAGAGCGATCTTCAACATTTTTGTGGTCGGTCATTTAGTGGAGTCTGTCAGCAAATATAGTGTCCACTCGCAATCCTTCATCAAATTACCCTGTTTGATAGAGTTGTAAAATAAAAAAATCTAAATGTACGCCTACGCGCCTAGATCGAGGTGACTCAGCACAAACGGCTGATGGGGTGGCAAATTTTCGCTACATGCAACCACAACTGCCACCTAGACTGAGTAACCCACCACCAGTGGCGGTGACGCCTAAGAATCGTCAGCCGTGGAGTCTGCGCCAACAACAGCAGCAACAGCAAAGGGAGGAGCATCATAATCGGAGTCAAAATCGAAGTCATCACCACCATCGCCATCGACACCATCACCGCCATCGACGTCGGCAGCAACAGCAACAAAAACAGCCTGGTAAGGAACGACATCAACCTCAACAGTCAGTACTCCTACATAGGCAAAAGACAAACAGCACAGATGTGCCAGATTCATCCTATCAGGAGGGTCACTTGCTAAATTGTCGAATGCTCACTGAGCAACAACGGACACTCTCTCTCGCTACCTCACGTTTTCGCCTCTACGACAGCCGGGAATTGACGTCGTATGGAGGCGACTTCAGCAGTTGTGGAAGTGACTCCAGGTCTTCTTCCTCACCTTCTACATCTTCCGCCTCCTCTTCCAGATCCACCAACTCCACAGGTTCTTCTTCCACCTCCTATTCCTCCAATTCAACAACTACTACTTCATTTTGTCCACAAAAACGTGCTCCACGAGGATATCGAGGTTATGAGAACCTAATGCCTTATAGTATCCGCTTAAAGACCTTTCGCAGCATGCCAGATGTGACTAGGGCTACAGGGCCTCATACTGTTGTGTCTGGAGGAGGTATCGGTGGCGGTAGCGGTGGCGGTGGTTATCAATTTGCAGTCAGCTGTGGTCACAAGGATTGTCGTGACTACTATCGGCTACAGGCGTTGAGGTCTGATCTTCAAATAGAGAGACGAAGATCAGAGAAGATAGGGGTTGAAAAACCCGCTTTGTTTAGGGAGAGGGAGATAGAATTGACACCATCTTCGGAGGATGATGAAGAGGGAGGGATGCAGAATGCCAACAGCAGGGAAGGCGTTGATCCTGGCGAAAAACCAATCCCTCTGCCCAATCCGATCGCATCGGATGCCTACTCGGTCCATGGACTAAGTGATGCAATAAGCGTTGAATCGTCCAAAGATGAAGGCACTGGAAGTGAGAATACGCGCTCAGCTGTCAGTAAGTCTGATGATCAGATTGCTAGGCCCTTGTATTTACTGATTTACTTTAAGGTAGCACTCACGTTTGCACCGACTTACACACTAATTCTCGAATTGACGCATTCGCACGAGCTGAAGAGATAAGAGCCGTTTTGATTTGACAGTGAATGCAAGCCTTACTTTTGATTAGTGGTTTTGTGGACTTGTCGGTGAGACACTGTACTTCTGATTTCTGGACTGGGAGCGTGAGCGATACCACCTCGCTCACCAACCTTGTAACGAGGCGTTCACAATAAAATTTAACAATCAACGTATCAGAAGACTTATATGGAAGGAGGATCAGACGGGGTCGCTTCCTCTGTAGAATAGTTGTTGAGTCGGATCAGTTGTTAAAAATTGAGTATTTCTGTGGACAAATCGGCAGATTTCACCGATTTGCCGTCGATATCTGGAAAGTAGAGGTGTTACCAAGGCATTAATCTCACTCTGCGTCCGCCTCTAATCCTTGGATTGGTTTGATGGTTGAATTTGAAAGTCGATAAATGGATCTTGAATACTCACTTAAGCGATGAAACGGTGAGTGTATTGTTAGGAGAAGGAGTGAGGAGATGGAAGGGCAAATGGATGAATGAGGGGTCAGATTTTCCCAAGTGGTCAAACCAAATGCCGACGGAAGGATCTAAGAGTCACTCACAGTGCAAGGAAAGGGACAGTAAAGTGAATGCGGAGCCACCAATTCAGCCCGTGGATCTTTGGATGAATAAAATGAGATGGAACGATGGGCTGTGGCAGAGAAATCGTCACTGCTTGAACCCTTTCCCTCCTTTTGACAGCCGACGTGTCCGATGAGAGTGCCCGTCAAAGCTCCTACACCTCCACCAATTCCCCCATCTCGCCACGACCACCGTCTCGTGTTAGCTCCGCCAATCGCTCGCTCTCGCGTGTCGCCTCACTGTCGAAACGTCTCGACTCTCCTGCCAGTTCGCGATCCCGTGTGAGAGTGCATCCAGCGGCGCCCAATCTCCTGGTCTACGAGTACGAAGCCTAGTCGATGGAACTTTTCCAAGTGCCTCTGCTCAGTCGTTCTACCTTCTTCAACCCTCTTGATCTTGATCTCAATCTTGTCGTGACTAATGCTTGGATGTTGTGTCTATATTGCTCTCTTGAAACGAGCCTCCCAAAGTCCCTCCTTCTCTTATGCAGACGCAAATAGAGGTTTGTTTCAACGTAGCCTCTCAAACAATCCTCCTTCTTCTGCCCTTTTCTCTGCTACCCCTACTACTGCTGAATACAAAGAAATTGCGATTTTTCTCTCCTGCTTCCTGAACTTTGGTCCTTTGAATCCTCAAGGATCAGAAACAAGGTTCACTGTTAATTGAGTCTCGATAGAAGTGCCAAGGAGATGAATGAGTTCAGGGTTATTAAGTAAGTCTGATAAGTCTTCAGCCTTCTAGAGGTTGGTAGGAATGCTCAAGGATGTCGGTCATGTCTTCTTAAAATGGAAGATTATAGAGAGGCGGACGATGTTCAACAAAATTGTCAAAGTGAATCAAGAGAGTGAAAAGAACTGCCAATGCAAGTGGAGGTGGAGCAATGTCTATAGAGAATGCCAGCTACACCACAGACGTTCCCATTTCATCGAAGAGGAGATTCGAGGTGTGATGGTTTCGTCAATTCTAAGAGGTTGCGCCTGAGACTTGTACGATTTTAATTGGCCAACGAATCGATATCACATCGTACTTTTCTGTGGAATGGATCCGTTGTGTACTGTGAAAGTGGATGTTTAGGGAAAACAGTGTCTTCCCGCCCTCACTGGGTAATGAGATAAAAGATTTATTTCTCATGACAAGTTAATCAGGAGTTCCTTCGAATTCACTGGCAAAGTAATTCTGATTTTGTCAGTCCATTCCCATTCCTTTTGCTTCATCTTCGCGTCTAACACTTGTCAATGCCCTGCATTACTTTTCCATGCAATGTAAATGAAAGACAAGTTAGGTCACGTGCAGCGATGACATTAATACCCTAGTTACCATTACCGGAGTTCACAACAGGAGCCATCTACCAGACGCAAATTGAGGGGCCTCATTTCGGTAAATCAACCTCTCATTTTATCATCCAATGGGTGATGGGGTCCTTAATTGAAGCACTGTAGTGATTGGTCTATTCAAGGTCGAACAGGGCTAGGAGGATTGAAAATGCCTTTGAGGGCGGGGAATGGAGATGGCCTAGCACTAGGCATTCCTATGATCAAAGAGGAGCAGACAGTCAAAGAATCAAAGCGGGACAGCTGAAAACAGGGAGGGGACGAGTTGGTTGTTTTCTCTCTGGGACAAATCCCCCTGCAAAACCGATGTTCGCAGTTAGTTCGTGTCCTGTTGATGAAAAGTTTGAAACCGAACTTGTAAACAGCCGCAAGAGCAGAGATTTTAGGATGCTTTTCCAGATTGTTTGACATTTTTTCGTGCAAAAAAATTAGTCAGCACATTTGGATGCATTAACTCGGGTGTTCAGCCCTGAGAGAAAGTTGGGATTGCATCCTTAGATGATCCTACCTATTACACAAAAGGAGCAAACACTATCCAAGTCCATACTTCAGACGCATCAATACTCTACGCACGTCTGCAAAGTAAAGGCATTTCTTCACTTTATTAGCAATTATTGGCCACGACTTTTGTACAAACCGCAAGGAGCTGGTTGGTCAATAATGTTTACTGATGATTGACGTATTTTTATGATTCTCAAAGCAAAAAAAAAGAAAATCGTGGGCATTTTTTTGGAAGTGCATATAAGGCTTTCGTGAAAGAAGGATAGTGTGCAAGAGATCTGCAGATTCTGAATGCCGTATATACAATTTCCCTCCGCACCATCAGTCTATCGATTCCGGCAGCGATCCCCAGTGAACCAATGAGCGATGCGATTTAGTGCCTCCCTCGTAATGCATTCGCGGAAAGTTCTAATCGAGTTACAAAGGGGTCATCTGAACTGTTCGGGAACTTTTGCATATCACCAGTTGTTGACTGTCATACACGTGCTAATGATGGTGAGATCAATGACTGTGAAGGATGAGGATGGAAAAGTTGAGGATGAAGGGTAAGGGATTGGGTCACTTTATTGAGTCTACTCTAGGCACTGAAATTGATCGACAGTAAGGCATATTGCTGGAGTGGTATGACGCCTTGACTAAAAAATAAATTTTCTTTAGTTCTGAGGAAACTTTCATTACTGTCGAGTTCATCTGTGTCTTCAACTGAAGATAACACTGGTACGTCAAGATTTGTCCGTCTTACGAACTAAATGCATTTTTGTGAAAGAATTAGTAGTCCATTGCATTGATCTTTAGTAGAGTTATGCAGTATAAAGTCTTGGCGGATATGGTGCCCAAGTAGACCCATGTCAGTATTGCACTCGACAGGAGCTTCACTACTGGCAGCCGGTCTAAGCATTGTCAATCTGAGTGGCGATCAGCCTTGGTAGCTACTTTGGCAAACAAATGACGATTTTATGAGTACTTGTACTCATATGAACCGTTAAATCTGGGTCGTGTGCTGCTGTTGATAAAGCTCATGAGCGAAATACCTGAATGATCAAAAGTTCCAAAGGCCGCCGAAAGAGTATAGTTTTCCTATCAGCTCAGACCTTCCACGAGGGCGTGCTTGTCGAGTGCAAGGTCTGGCTAGCCTTACAGTGAAGCAAAGCTGATGCAGTGGCACAAGTTGCCTCGCGCAGACATCAATTAAACATAGATGAAAGTAGGAAAGTACAACGGACACTTGAAAGTTTGTTGTTTTGTAATTCTTTGCAGTGGAGTATGAGTATATGACCTTTTAGGTGATTCTTTTTACTGCTCTGCAAAGTTGTTCGGGCAAATTCCAATCCAGAAGGGGAGATCAGCTTTTGAATTATGATGTGAAGAAAGAGAGTTGAGTTGTCCGGCACTGCCTTCTGAATTTTCATAAGTCTACAATTGTTAAATGGATCCGCAATTGTCAAGGTGGTCCTTGAATGAACGGAAAGACAGATGAATGAGCATATGGACACAGGTCATCACCTGAAAGGAATATTGTCCACACATTTCCCGTCTTTTCGCTTCTTTGAATCTCCTTGAAAATCCCCCATTTGTCTGTTTAACCAAATCACTTCCGCATTCAAAAGATCCTCAGCTCGTCAGCTACTTCGCTTGCAACTGCAAATCCCCTGGTTAGTTCCCTCTCTCAACCTTCTTAATCTTGTCATGATCACAATGATGTTGTCTGTACTGCTCTCCTGAAACAAGTCTTCCTCATTAACTCCTTTTTATCGGATATAACTTTGACATTTACAACGGAACTAGATATTCGACAGCTTTTCGCTACCTTCTTCCAACCTACAGGGTGTGGAAATCTTTCTTAGTTTCCTTTTTTTAAGCGAAAAAGATTTGACATCGACATTCAAACATGGGGAACGCAATCTCTCGGAATCACTGAGGTTAGTGGCAAAAGCCACGGAAACGGCGCATAATTTTTCATCATTCGGGCCAGAATGAGCACCTCCAATGTTAATCGGGGTGAGAGGAGAGAGTGAAAGGGTGGCGGGGAGTGGATAGGTAGATTATTTCCCCACTCATCCTTTCAACCACTCGAACGTTTGGTCGAGTAAAAAAATATGCGATAATATTAATAGTACAAAAAAGGTTTCCATGAAATGACTGTGATGTAAGAGAATGAGAACAAAGGACGCCATTCGCGTTAAAAAGCAGCCCACAATGTTGACATTGATGGGATGGAGTGCTAAAGGAGAATGGTTACTTTTCCATTGAGAAGTTCACTTCTTTTATCCCAGTATAAAAACAGGTCATAGTAACGTAGCAGTTGACATAAAAACTGTTAATTTTTAATCCCTAAATCATGCCTGTCCAGCGAATGGAGGGGTCATTTCAGGTGGCAATTGCGAATCACTACCTGCAGTGCAAAAGGAATTCATTTTCAAAGAACTGTAGTGACTCGACACTTGATGTGATGAACCAATTTCTCTTGATCTCTTCATCCATTCCATATTGGAGAAGGTTTTGACCATTGCTCAGAGGAGAGGATCCTTCGAGGTGCATTGGGTGGGTCGATCTTGGCTAGTTGACCCGCAGTCCAAATGAAGCAGGGCATGGACAGGCTCCGGCATTTGTATTTTGTCGATGTAAATCCAAATCTATGATATTGTTTGCAATGCTCGAAACGGAGAAATGTCACCATAATCAGGAATGGAGACCCCTCCGGAGGGCAACCCATCCTCCACCGCAGACTTTAGGCAGTGGCAAGAATGAATCACATCAACTCAAAGTACAGTAATAATAATGTCGCCTTCTTCTGCACATGTACAAATATTTGCATCTGTAGGAGATGCAGCATATTGATTACAGCGAACTACACCGAAAGTAAGAGGAAGTTCACTCACTGTCTGACAATTTGCTTATCAAATATATTTAAAAATTTACCTAAACATGCATCGTAACCCTTTGACAATGAAGATACTTTACACAAGTAAGTAATAGTTATTTCACAAATAATTTTGTCAAAGACGCATTGACTTAAGAGTGGTCTACGGATACAGGGAGACTGGAAGATTTGCGATTCTCTGAATCAAGGGACGAGGAGGAAGAGGACGAAAAGCCGAACATTCGGATTACCCCTTGATCCCGATCGTATTTTGCTTCGCTGGAGTAGGTAAGCAAATAGTGCTTCGGATGCCAAGCGAGCACGAAAGTGGCTGCGGCCTGAGTTCCTAGACGGTAGACCTGTTCACCTATAGTGCAAGAGGAAAACAACAGCAGATGATATGATCTCTTCCACTCTTTCAACGCTTATGACCTGTCACTTTTGCGCAAAAAAGAAAGTGACTGCAATAGGACCAGTTAGGGCCCTCTCGAATAGCCTGAGCGATTCCCTATCAACAAGGCCTACTTCCACCTACAAGCAAAGCAATGACGGCATAAAGGAGAAATGCGAGACTGCTCTAATAATTGGAGGCCATTGACCATGCATCAACCCTTAAGAGTAACCGCAAATGGTAAAAAGGCGCTGAAACATAGGCCAACATCTTCACGGTCTAAAGACTCACCTGTTTCAACACAACCAATATCAATGAAGTGATCCTCACTAGCAGAAGCAATTAGTTGGCTGTCATGCGAAAAGCCCAAAGCTCTGACTGGCCATTCTAATCTACGAAAATGGAAGGAATAAACACAAAACTGCAAATGACAACAGGGATCATTATCAAGACAACACACCTGGAGAGTGTGCGAAGGCAAACAAACTCATCGGAGTCCCACAAAGAAACGAGGGCGTCGGCACTGCCGACAGCAAAGTACCCACCGGAAGGAGAAAATTGAAGGCACATTGCATTGGAGGGGTGTGCTTGTAAAATAATTTCACGCCGCATTTCACCCGGCTTCCCACTGAAAAAAAACAAGTCTTTTATCATTTACAACAAAGGTAGAGAGGAAAGTGATCTGCACACCTATAGACAAGGATCCCACCGTTTCCAGAGGCAAGAAGCATAAGATCACTAAAGGGCTTCCAGGAGAATTCATTAATTTCAAAACTGAACTGTTCGGATTGAATGGTCTTCAAGTCAGAGCGAACATCCAGCCAGGTAATCTAGGAAGAGAGGATCAAAATAAACATCCAAAGGCCATACAAGATCGTTTTTATTTCCCACTGCAATTGTATGTCCATCCGGAGACCATGCAACATTGATATTTTCACCCTTAAGTTGCGCGGTAGTAGTGCGTTTTGAACGACAATCCCAGAGTCGAACTGTTCCATCCGCGCCAACAGTTGCAAGCGTGTCATTAGTAGAGGGATGCCAAGCTAGTTGGTCGACGCTGTCAGTATGGCCTCTGAAGGTTTGGAGTTTGCTCTTATAATTTTAGACGGCTTATATGTTGGGAAAATACCAGACGAGTTGAATCCAGAGCATATATATTCACGCATTTATCGGAAGAGGCTGAGGCGAGTTTGCTGCCTGATGCATTCCATCCGAGAGCGTGAATTTTCCCCCCATAACCTGGGAACTCTTTCACGCGATTATTGAACCCAAAGTGCTGCCTTAAAGATTGCAGACCGGACTTATTCATCTCGGTGATCCAAAAGCCGCGCGGAACGCACCACTGAATAATCAAGTGGGCTATGTGAGTCTTGAAGTTTGGGGTTGATGAAATGGCATAAAACAGCCAAAATAAATGGGAGTTAATGTGCTGTGCAAAACGGCATAGTAGCTATATTATTATCCAATGACTTCAAATCATACGGTTGAAAATTATAACTTTAACAAAGGTCTCTACTGTCGAAATCAGCCCTTTACTAGCCAAATTTTTAATGTCAACATGTAGTTTGTTCATTGCAATACCAAACTTAGGCTTGATTTATTGTACACAATGGTTTTGATACCATCTTTTGGGGAAATATACATCGCCTTCCTCAAGTTTGATAGCATGAGTCTCATTAATTTCTTGATGAGTCTGATACGCAAATGACTCTGGAATTAATGCTGAACTTTTTGGCATTAAAATGGGCATTATGACAATTTCCCCCTCTTACAGTGAATGGTTAGTTCTCCTCTCCGTTCTAACCTATCATCAATTAGCGTGCAGCCATTTCTAACATGCTTCATCTGAAGCAAGGTTGGTTTTAGCGCTTCTGGTTTTGTTGCTTGAGATCTACTGTAGATGCTGTAGGAATTTCCTTTTTGTTCCGTTTGCTCAATCATATGGTGCGGATAACTAAATTTCTTTGGGGACTTGCGTAGAGATTTTGCCATGGTTTTGTGCACTGTACAATTGCGCGGACTACTTTTCGACTATACTAATGATTGCATGTCATTATAGGTGATCCTGAACCGGTGGTTAATCCAGAAAAATTCACGCTTTATGACCTTAAATTTTGTCCCTTCTGCCAACGAGTTCGCTATACTCTTGATTATCACCAAATTCCGTGAGTTTCATTTGTTGTAAATTTGCAGCATTTTTGGTGATGATCAAACGTCACTTCTTTTTCTGGAAAGCTATGATCGTGTTTTGGTGAATCTCATCAACAAACCCGATTGGTATCTTCGGTTACAGCCAGAGGGTAAGGTTCCACTGCTACGATTTCGAGGAGAGCGACTCTCCGAGTCTGATTTGGTGATGCGCTTTGTTGACCAATTTAATGGCAAACCAGAAACCAGTTTGTTGGCAGTTTGCGGTGAGGAAGCCTTCCGTGACTCCTTAGCCCTTTCCGCCGAGGTAAATTGTATCTTCTTTTAAAAGTGAAACCATTCTAACACTCATTTTTTCTTCGATAGCCTGTTTGAGATGACATGGAAGTGTAGAATGTCTGTCATTCAAGTGAGTGCTGACGAGTTCGAGCTTCTCGTATTTGTTGAATTTACGTGAATAGCAGTCTGAGATAGGTTGTGGCACATTTCTAATTTTGGTAGAGGCTTCGAGGCATCTCTCTTAGTTTGTGCTTGGTTTTGGTGTGCAAAGAAGAGATGACTTAACTTTTCAATGTCTACATACATCTTTTAGCTGGCACGACCGCGATTTCGAGTCGCTTACTCTCTCGACGCCTCAGCTGATGATGTGGACGCATTTGTTGCCACCTGTGGCAAACTTGAGGCAGCTTTAAAACAGCCCTACCTTTATGGTATGCTTTTATTCTTTTTCGCTACATAATTGAATTTATTAGGTAAAAACAAGAGTTTGGGCAATAAGGTCATAGGCGTTTGAAATGTTTACAAATTTAAGTGGCAGTTGGGCTTTGAAGTTCTCCGTCATACATACGTTGCTGTCACTGCTCTTCGTTGTTACTCTCTGCCTTCAGTTATAGTAAGTCCTCGTCCGAATTCCCGTAGTCGTGGACAGAAGACCTAATTATCTATGCGGAGCTATTATCGTCACAGTCTTCCGTGTGTTCACTTCACCATGTATAGAACTTTATTATTGCCAAGTAGGGTTAACATCCTACTTTAAGATCACAGACATTGACGTGTTCTCATTTGGTGGCAAAAAGGCGAACCTCAGTAGGCTAGTTTACCTATCCGAACTCTGACAGTGTGGGCAGCCCATTGAACTCGTTTTGCACTCAGGATAGTCTTCCAGCTTTTTACGGGACAGTGACCATCGCGTGGTCAGTTCGACAATTTCGAGGTTTTTTGTATATCTGGTTGCAATGATATGCGCTGAATAGTAGTTAATGAAGTTGTGCTTTTGACTGTTCCCTCACTCGAACGAATCCGATGCTGTTCTGGAGCCCAATGTTCACGAGTCGACTAACTTATTTACGACGACGTTGAAGCGAATTCCTTGTCAGCTTTATTGTCTAGCGAAAAGAAAAGGTGATGCGACATGTGCCATGTGCCATGTCTCCAGTGAGGCAATTCAGAAAAGATAGGTGCTTCATGGGGCACTCGTTTACGTGCCCCACTCGTGCTGCGTGAGTGTTCTAGATTGGGGCGTCTCAATTTGCTCATTGACTGTCCGCTACCATCTCTGCCCTTTTGGTGTGTCCTTCCATTCATCTCAAATGTATGCGTCTTATTAAAGCACTCCTCATGGATCAAAATTCCATTCTAGGTCCATCTACTAATTCCTTGCTTAATCACCCAGTCATCTTTGATGTGTCCATTCCTTCATCCGTGTCCCTTCAGGAGAAGGATTTTGTTTATTGTCGGATTTTACTTAAAAAGGTTACAAGAGACTACTGCTTTCCCTCCAGGTGATAGAGTTAGCCTAGCCGACTTGGCTATCGTGCCTTTCTTCAATTACTGGCACTACACTATGCAGCGCCTTACCGATCTCAAGGCTGACACAACGGAGGAGGGCATTTCCACCGCCTTTCCAAAGCTGCGCCAGTATCGTGAAATGATGTTGTCCCAGCCATATGTAACCGCTACCGCCTGTGATGAGGACGAATACGCCAAGTTTGTCCAACTCTGGCGCGTCAAGGATGCCAACGCGATCTTCTAGCCGCTCCCTCCTCCTCCTCCTCCTCCTCCTCCTCTTCCTATACTTTGCGATGTTGTCCCTCATTCCGGTGCCGTTTTGTGCTTTTAAAGGTTGACACTAAGATTTGATGTTGTTACTTTTTATTTTTGTTGCCAATCTTTTTTGTTTTATTTTTTCCTCATGCTCTTATCGATTCTGTTGTGGATTTCACTGTTATTTCCTCGTGCTTTTGACGGTCGAAATAAACGCCTCCTCCACGGTCTCCACACAACAAGGCCAGTTGCTTCTTTCTACCGTTTGTTTGTTTGGTTGTTTCATCTCCCTTTCTTTCGTTCTTAACGCAGTTTTTGATAACGCACTCATCAACGTCCAAGAGGTAGACGGATGGATGAAAAGGAAAAAGGGAGAGGGTGAATGGAGGATGCCCAACATTTGCTTTTTACTTCTGAATTTGGAGAGGGAAGGCGACTTAGTGACAGTGCATTTTCTCTGGTCACCCTTGCTTTCACTTCTGTTACGTCTAGGCTCCCAGACTGTCCATTCGTCGCGTGATTTTCCATCACATTAGGTGAAGGTAGGAGGTATGAGAATGAGGCAGCATTTTCCCTCTCATCCTGACTACTAAGGTTGTAGGGGGTGATGTTATTCAGTCCTCATATTTGAATGTCATCAAGATGCGTGTGCCTTAGTCAATCCTTCAGTTTGTGGAGATAAACAACCTAATGAAGGTTATTTGTAAACTTCTGACTGATGTGGACGCCAACGAGCTTCCCTCGCGACATGGCGAGATTGCTATTTTGGGAGTCTTATCGACACACAGGTCCTACGCTTCACCGTCACCAGCTGACAAATGGAAATGTACTCCTGTGATGCTGCAATCGTGTTGAGGTGTTGATGGGCAAAGTCAACGATCCGACGTAGCAGAGGACCCATCAAGAGCATTGTGCAAATGTTCCTACCAATCCCAAGGAAGGCATTGCTACACCAACTCTCAAATTCCAATTAAATCATGTTCTGAATTGTTTTCTTCTGTCTCAAAGGAATATAATTCCCATTCTCTAAAAGAGGTCGTTCCTTATCCCTCTCCTCCATCTGCCTTCCCAAAGATTTCACAAAAAGCTTGTTGTTGAACCTTGTCTCATGGTCGGTTCTTCCGTTCTCTCTTCACATCTTGTTCTTTGAAGATGTCGGCTAACTATCTTTATCTTAGATTTGGAAACACCTTTTATTCACTCCATTAGAGCAGCTTTTGCTTTCGGGCGTAACATCATGGGCGTCATCTCCACTCACTCGCGTGCACTAATGGACTGGTGTCGAATACCCCATAAATGCGCTTGTTTTTGTAATCTAAAAGCTTACCGTACTAGTCAACTGCTGGTAGAACGAAAAAAGAATAATAACGAAAATAAAATGAAATTACAACGCATTCAGGCTAAACGCAAGTCTCCTTGGACGGTGTTGGTGGCCTCAAGGCGTCCGTATGATCTCGGCTTTTCATGTCTCCGCGCGTGGCCACGAGTGGACCAACCGGGCGTCTCACGATACCACCTCTGGGGTCGTCGTCTTGGCGATGACAATGCACATTTCTCTCACCAACCTAGTCTTCTCGTTCTTGCTCATTCACCTGTGAGGAGGATGGATCAAACAAGTGAGTTCAAGGAGTTTCACTTTTGTTCTAAGCCTTGAAGGAGTGATGTGATGTGTTGTGAATGGAAAGAGACTAAACTGCCAACTTGGCTTGTGAGTGTCTCTTTATAGTAGTCCTGAATACTTGGGAAGGCTAGGGTTTGGAGGCTGGTTGCCTTAGTTATGGCCTCCAGGTCATCTTCCTCGATGCGAAAATAAATTACGGAAATTAACGCGAGTTCTCTGTTTTACAATTGTAGGCTGCGCTGGAGTTCCTTCCTTCCTGCCAGGAATCGAGAAGGCAGTTCAAGGTGATATCTTCTGTCTCATGCCCGGTTGCAGATATGCTGCTGTCTCCGTCCTGGAGGCAAAGTCAATGTAAGTGAAAGCCAAAGCAAGAGGAGGGCTTTTGACCTCTGATTTGCGATGCTACTGTGCACACCGTGAGTTTAGTTAATGGCTCCAGGACTGCATAGTCTCCACTGCTAGTTCACAATGCCCTTCAAACAAGTCCCTTTAGAATCGCCTACAAGACCATCCAATCTTTTATACTACAAAGAAGGAGGTGGGTGAGATCCTCTTTTTTTGGAAAGAGACGAATTGCTTTCAGTCACCACCTCTCCATTCCAAATTGGCTTAAAGCGGTAGTGTTGAAGAAGAAACCTCAATAAAGCTGTGTTGAAATTTTTGTGACTTTTCATCCACAGGAACTGGCCATTCTGCTCCATAAGTGAAGTTTCCAGTTCACCATTCTATCCATCTACCAAATCTGCCGCTTTCGCGGCACTCTGGATCACCTTTGATGCTGGAAGCCTCCTTCCCGGTCTTCAGTCAATCACCTCCAACAATGAGACGACTTTGCGGGACCGAATTGGCGATCTTCCGTTCCTACTAGTTCAAAATCTCTTATTAAACCCTTCTCCTTCTCCTCCTCCACCTCCTAACTGTACTACGAAATCTGTTCCACTTCCTCCACGCACACCCTCCCAACCAGGAGTGTGGAGTTCTATCAAGTGCGTTTTTTGACTCTCATCCTAAGCAATTTCATTCCCGTTCTTTTCTTTAGACCATGGCTTGTCAAAGCGGCCGACAAAAGCTACACTCTTCATCTTCTTGGTCGACATTTCACTAGTCGTAAAACAGCCCTTCCAACACTTCTCATTCTTCCTTTTGCACTTCAATTAATTCTCTGTCTTCTACTTGCTTTGGTGTTCCATCTTCCCGCCTTTTCACCCTCATCTCAACGACTGTGTCACATCTACAGCCAATCTATGAATCATCTCACCCTACTTTCACAGTCTCTTCGCTCCAAAAACATCGCCTACTTCAATGGCAGCTGTCTACTTCTGCATCATCTCAACAAAAACCCACGAATGTGTTATGCTCTGGAGGGTCCCAGCCAACAAACACCCGCGGACGTGCTGAATTCGTTTGCTGTTGTAGCGCTAGGTTCTCTTAGACACGGCTGCGTCTTCGAATTTGTTGCCGCTTCAACTGACTACTTTGCTTCAGAACTGAATCGTCTTCTCATTTGGTTGGGATCCTCTGAACCTGCTGGCTGGAAGATAAATCGGAATCTCGCTCTCCTCATGAGTCGATTTTTCATCTCTCACGTTGCCGCATGGGAAATCTACGTCCACTTCCTCATTCACATCTCCTCCAATGTCTTCCATTGGCTTTACTATGTGTTCGTTACTCTTCACGTTCAATACTTTCACTTTATTGTTCTCCTCCTCTCTGAGGCATTTTTGGAGGCTTATTTCAACCGTGGTGGCTGGTGGGACAATCTTGTGGACCTCTTCTCCTCCTCTGTTCGATTAGCCACATCCTTAATAATCTGCTTCTGCTTGGACCTCCTGGTTCTGGCGACTCTGCATCTCTCCTGTTTCTACGTCTACACCGTTAGGTAGGCCATTTGAATTCCGGAAAACATGTCACGGTGTCCTAGACTTTTTAGGGTTCAATTACTAGCTGTTGCTGCAAGTTGGCGATTGTGCCGATCGGGTTCGAAGTGGAATCCTCTACGACATCGTGTTGACACAATCCCCCAAAATGACGACATTCCACCAGTAGTGGCAAGTGCAGTTCTAATGCCAGAGGGAATGAAAGACGAGGAGGAGAGCGTCGAAGCGGCTCCTATGCCTTCCAGCCAATTACGACACTTAGATCGGGTGTTTGTGGCGACGTTTCTTGGAGTTGCGACGGGACTGTGCTTGTTGCCAACAACGGTGGCGTTCTACACCGCATTTTCTGTGGTGAGTTTGTCTTCTTTATCAGGATAGTTTATTTCATTTTACTTCCCTCAATTCTGCATCTTAATTGTCAGTTTCACGGGAAACAAAGCAGTGAAACGTCTGAGCTGTGGTTCTGAATGTGGTTAGACTGAGCGTTTGGATTTCTCCTGTAGATATACATTACCTTGGTCGGTGTGAAAGCCATCCTTACCCGCACTGCGTGTACGATTCTGGCATTTCCGCTGGGAGCCCTCGTCTCTTGGAGTTTGGATAGCGCGTCTACCAGAAGTAGGGCAAATTTCATTATTCCCGCCCGCGTAAAAGTTTATTTACCAATCCCTGCAAATATCTTCGGTGCCCTTGTGCCAATTTCGTTAATTTTTTTCTCTTCAAATAGCTAACCTCGTTATAACATCGCCGATTTTGGACTCTGTGCGTGTTCCTTTCCTTTCTATGGAGGTAATGGTGTGTGGGTCTCCATGATCCTTATCTACGCATACAGCGGGCGCTATGCTGGTATTCTTTACATTTTAGCTGGTTAGAGGGAGTCTGAAGGATACTTTGGAACGGTGCTCCCTGTTTGATACAAAAGAGCTTTTTGGAAAGCATTATAGCGCTGGAAAAATTCTGAAGAGCCTTGTTTGCGCCAACTTGCTTTACCCTTTGTCGGACGACTGAGTTTTTACGGACATTCCTTTTCTTTTGTTTCCTGTATTTATTTGGATAAAGGTGATTCTTATAGAGGTGGGAGTTCTTGACGGGTTCTTTTTGAGGTGAAATTCTGAACGGATCCGATGAGGAGTGGAGAAGGGTGCAATACGTTATTTATGTGACTACATGACGTTTGACAGTCACTGTAGGATTTTTCTAGCCCCTGTACGCTTGGGTTGGCTCTCAGACCACGCTCAGGCCCCATTTGCCCTGTCGTCTTCGGAATACATGTATTCAACCTCATACCTTCTTCCACCCTCTGGGAAGCCTAGGGGCACTAAAAAGATATGTATGTGCTTTAGTCTACATACCCCTTATTCATGTGATCGGAGGCAGTGGACAATCACACCAGATATCGAAATTTACCTTTATACTACAGATATAAACAAAAATTAAAGAGCTTAGATTTAGCAACAAAATTTCAGCGTTCTAATGACGTGGATTGGGATTCTTTGCAATTTTTCACAATGGTTTAAGGTGATTGTTAAAAATCATGACCAATTTTTAGACCCAAAGAAAGGGATGATTTTACAGAAGCAGTAAGCCAATGAGAACCGTCCTTGAACGGTCGTCCGCCCGCTTAGCTGTTTCTGATGGCATCTTTTGGTCTGGTAATTTTTGCAGTCTTGACAATTTTGTTGGCGTAGTTTGCGTATTCTGTTCTTTTGTCATGATTTATCAAAAACACTGTGTAGATAATGCGACTTGGCAGTGTGCGTTTAGGCGTTCGCTTCGGTAAACGCATGGGGTTTTATAAGCTGTCAATTTGTTTTAAATTTTTCTATTTTCACTGCAAGAAATATGTGCTTTAAACAGATCTGTTACTCTGATGGTGCGAATAGCATTTTTACAGGTCGGCCATTTCGCAAATGTTTTCATCTCTAAGTATCTACACTTTATATATCTTTTAGATCCGCGGCCTTTCAACCTCTGCCGCCTCTCGCGCTATTATTCGTGTAAGTTCATTGTATTTATTAAAATCTCAGTTTTATCATTTTGTAGCCTCCAACTCAGTATTTTGGTGTCGATGGTCGCTATGCCACTGCTCTCTACTCTGCAGCCATGAAGTCGAAGAACCTTGAAACTGTTGAGAAAGACCTCCTCAAACTCAAAAGCGTTCTCGCCACTGACGCCAAGCTGAGTAACTTCTGTCATGATCCAACCATCAAACGACATGTCAAAGTTCAAGCATTTACCAATGTTCTAAACAAGCTCGGGCTCTCCAAACAAGCTTCGAACATGCTCCGTAAGTCTTTGCTTTCTTACCCATTTTTCTTGCAGAAATACTGGCGCAAAATGGCCGCCTTAACCTCCTTTCAAAGGTCTTGGCTACTTTCGAGCAAATCATGGTTTCCCATCGCGGTGAAGTGTCCTGTGTTGTGACCACTGCTAAAGCCTTGGATCGTGCTACAGAACGCGAGCTGACCAGCGCTTTAGAGCAATTTCTTGAACCTGGTCAGAAACTACACCTCTCCCTTAAGGTGAGCGCTCAAATGCCGCCTCATTTCACATTATTAGATCGGCACTGACTTGCTCTCTTCTTCTTACAGGTGGATCCAGAGCTCATTGGGGGCGTGGTGGTTAGTATTGGCGACAAGTATGTCGATATGTCGATTTTGCGGAAACTTCGTTTTTACAGAGCGATTTTAGAACAACCCGTGTAGAAAGGCTTTGCACTGTTGATATAATTTAGATTTTTTAGCTGCAAATAAAGTTGCGATACGGGCTGAAGCCTTGTATGGTACGAAAGACGGGATAGTCGCTTGGAGATGAGAGCTTTGCATTACGGTGCAAGGTGTCTCACATTTATGTATTGGAAGTTGACGTCTGAGAAGCAGCAAGGAAACCTCCTATGACGGACTCTTTTTGGGTGCGCCGGGCATTTGAGGCCGCGATCAACGGCAAGTATACTTTAGTCTTTCTTAAGTACTCGGATTGACCACCTTGGGAAACATTCAATACATACATACTACTCATTTATATGAGTAGCGAACGCTTATACCGAGTTGGGCAATTGGTTTGTTGTCAGGACATGAAGCAAATGCGACATGGGAGTTTTGCCACATTGTGCCATGTCAAGCTGGTCAGATTCGACGCCTAAAAGTTGACTTATGATGCTAAGAAAATTTACGACCTTACAGGCTTTTGGTCGACGTCGGTTGAATTAGGAGCAATCTGTACCATTTTAACGGAATTTAGACAGTTGGGAGCTTTAACACATCGCTTATCATAATCGTACGCTTCAAGTCATGTGGCGTCGTTGTAGGCGTCGAGAAGAGTCTGTAGCTTAACCCTACTCCAAACAAGACACTGTGGAAGTACACTGTATTTGTGGCTTGAAGAGAAATGTGGGTACAGCGAGGGTGGAGGGAAGCGCAACTGCGCTACGCTACGGCGGAAGTGAGAACTGGACGGCTAAATTGACATGTAAAACGCATTTATTATGACACCGTTCCTCCCCCTTTTGGTTGTACCGGCTGCTGCCATTGATTAGTGCCTTGAAGACCACCCACGAGTCAGCAACGCGAATGATGTACTGATCACCCAAATGGAAGAGGCATTTGATCACCATGGCTTTGTCTTCTATTTCGGATTTCCAATACTTCTTTTTACTTAAAATTACTCCTTTATGTCGCCAGCTTGATGCTTTAGATTGTTCTACTTTCTACGTAGAGCAGCTGAGGAAACACTGGAGTGTAATTCAAAGCATCCTTCCAGTCCTTCCTGCTAATTTCATGCAGTGCTATGACTCAGCATTTAGTTAAACAGCTTGTCAACGACTCTCGATGACAACAATGCTTTTACTCGTGAGTGATCAAAAAAGTCAGTAACAAGACAAGGTGGCATCACAGGGAAATGAATTAAAAACTGCACCAACTGTCTCAACCATCTGAGGCATTGTGTTAAGGATCCACTGTTTTGCCGTCACGACCATTCTATGGTCATGAGAGATGGTGAAAATCCCAAACACTGTTATGCGTGTTGTGGGGATGGACGATGATTACAGAAAGCTGTAAGCCTTGCATTTCCGCAGTTGCCATTGAATTTCTCCGCGCCTCACAGGAACCGCGTTGGAAGGCGCTTTGACACGATAAAGCGACCAAATTCTATTTACCCTTCCATAAGATGTACAACACTGTGAACCTCTCGCTCTCCTTCATTACAGTCTGATCAATGGAATTTGGCATTGCACTCTTCTCTGTCCAATTAAGCCCTGAATTAAAAGTCTTCTGCTAGTCGGAGCCTCTCAGATGCCAGCACGCCACCTCACCCTCACCCAACATCCAATTTGAAAGCAATGGCAATAAAATCGAATTGACGAGTGGGGGAGTGGATGAACTGGAGCACAGTTATACGCCTTTAGAGACCCTTCTCCAACTAATCGTTTCAGAGATTAAGATGATCGTAGAACAGAAAAATGAATGTGACAATCCCTGCTGAGGAGACGACAATGCTTCTTTAAGGTGGAAAGACGTTTGACCTCAGTAGAGGTAACTGTACACGTTAGGCGATGCAAAGCTATCGCACGTCTGGTATGGATTGAGGTTGACCAGAGAGCAACAGCCACAAGCACCAGATTACGGTGTCGTTGAGAGGTGTCAGTTTGATGCCCATTCACTCCACCTCTCATCAAAGCAGACGCTGCGTCGACCTCGCAGTCTCGTCACGTACCCAATACGAGCAGTCAGGAGAGCGGACACGCCAACACGATTACCTCTGTTGCATTCACACACCCACACCCACACTCACACCCACCTCGCATTCACGTGCCCTCCCACATACCTCGTCTCAACTTCTCTCACCGTGGTCTCCCTCTCTCCCTCCTTCCCTCCCTCTCTTTCTTTCCCTTTCTCTCTCTTTTTCCCTCTCGTCGTGGTGTTGGTCTACTCAGGCGGTGGAAGGTAGCAAGGTGTCACTGTAACAAAGTGCAGTGCCAGCTGCACCACCTCTCCTCCCCACCCTCCTACACAACCGCCATCAGCCTCCACCACCGCCAGTCACATCCCCACCATTTTGGTCTGCAGACACATTCAATGCCACTCCCCACAAATGGGTAATCGCCCACTCCTCCCCCCTCAACTATGTCCACAAATGACTCCAACCAGTCACTCACATCTCACTTCTTCACATACTACTTACTTGCCACTCAGCTACGTGGTGACGCTGACCGTCACCGTGTGTTCTCGTCACCACGTGGTGGCATTACACACTTCGCACACTGTTGACACACCCACTGGTTGTCGCCTCGATCTCCCAATGCCTCGATCACCGTTTCCGCATAGTCATAGGGGTGGTGGAAAGGAGAGAACGTTGTTTCGCCCTTCTCGAGGAATGAAATGAGACAGTGGTGATTTGTCACTTGTTGTGATTGATGAAGTAAGCCAGCGTTGGTAGCGATGAGG